GCTTAAAGCAACAACTGTTTCTTCTGTTTACAGTTCTTCAGGTCAAGGATTTGAGCCGTGTTTAGCGGGGCAATTCTTTTATTGGTTTTACCTTGGGTCGCTCATGTGATTGTGGTCATCTGGCAGCTAGACTGAGACTGGGTGGTCCAAGACGATCCCACTAACATGTGTGGGGTGTCAGCTGGACCGCCTCACATGGCTGAGATGGCTGAGCCTCTCTCCATGCAGTCTTCCATCTAAGACGCTTGATGAGGTTTCCATACACGGTGGTAACAAGATTCTAAGAGGTTAGTGACAAGGTTTCTTGAGGCCTAATCTTAGAACTCCCACACCACCATTTCTATACCATTTCACAGCATTCTGTTGGTCAAAGCAAATCGTCAAGTCAACTCACATACAACAGGGAGGGAAACAGACTTGGCCTCTTGATGAAAGCTGCTACAAGAGTCACATGACAGACCAGGTGTGGTGGCTCATGCCTGTAACTGCACCAATCTGGGAGGCTGAAGTAGGCAGACAGCTTGAGCTCAGGAGTTCGAAACCAGCCTGGGTAATATGGCGAAACCCCGATTCTGCTATTAAAGAATACAAACATTAGCCAGGCATGGTGGAGCACACTTGTGATCCCAGCTACTCTAGCAGCTGAGGCATGAGAATCACTTGCACCCAAGAGGCAGAGGTTGCCGTGAGCCAAAATTGCACCACTGCACTCCAGCCTGGGGGACAGATAGAAGACAGATAGAAACCTTGTCTGAAAAAAAACAAAACAAACACACATACTACAGACGGATATGCATACAGGGATGGCAGGAATTTGTGGCCGTTAATCAATTGTTAAAATTTATTATCAAACAACATGGTGAATAGTTCTCCTATTAATATGTTCATTGTACATCCTGGTTAAGTAAATTAAGTAAATTATCCACTATCACTTTTTTTTTTAACTAAGCGTTAATTCAAGTTGGTCTGTAGGTCTTGTTTTGAATCCACCTTTACCTGGTGGGCAGGTCAAGATGAGATCTGGGAGAACGTAAACACTTCAAAATGCAGCAGCAGCTGGAAAAGAGCAGGCAGTGCTCAGCATCTGCACGTGCCCGTCATGAATCTGTGAAGAGGGAGCGCTGCTGTGCCTCCAGAAGTCTCAGATGTTTAAGATTCAGAGGGTGAGGTTGGTGGCCCACACGTAGGCTTTCTGCTCCGCTCCGAGGCTGTAATGCGTCGGTTTATTTTTTGATATTCAATACCTGTGTCTCTGTCATAACTATAGACATTACAGGCTTATTAAGAATTCCAGAGAAGTGAAGAAACGGAAGTAGGGAAAGCAGATTCAGACAAGAAAATTCCCACAATACAACGATTTTAAAAACCCAAGATCGTCCTTATTTCCCAGAGTTGAAGAGTCACAGAGGAGTACTTGTCATTAATTTTTATATATATTCCTGATCTATAGACCGTGAAAGTCGGGTTTCTTTGAGACAAGGTCTCACTCTGTCCCGCAGGAACTACAGGTGCGCACTACCACGCCTAGCTAAATGCTAATGTTTTGTAGAGACAGGGTTTTATCACATTGCCCATGCCTCGTCCTGAACTCCTGGACTCAAGAGACCAGCTCCCCTCAGCCTCTCAAACAACTGTGATTACAGGCGTGAGCTACCATACCCGGTCCGTTTCTTACTGAAATGAATACTGTCAAGAGCTGTCTTAGCGACTGTTGCTAAGGTATTGGACAAAGGCAGACATCAAAAAGGACCGTGAGATTACATCTGTCATCCCTTGCCTTAAACTGGGAATTCTAAGTCAAATCACGGGAGGGTTCTGAGTACAGTCTAAATGAGAACGACATACATCGCTGAAGGGGATCTCAAACTCAGTACACTCTCCCCATTTTTGAATTTCTACAGCTAGGAGAATAGTAAAACTGCTCCAGGTGAGGCTCGAACTCACAACCTCGGCATCGCTCACAGGTGCACTGTCTTATAAGTACCGCGCGCTAACCGATTGCGCCACTGGAGCCATGGAGATAACAGGGATTTGGGAAGGTATAAGATGCTTATACAGATTACAGATGAACTCTTTTCAAACTTTTTTTTTTTAACGTATTTATTAAATCATATGAACTTTAGTCACCTTCTAATACGGGACTTCCACGAATAGGACTGAAAGCAAAAATGAAGGGAACCCTGGAATTAGCTGACCCTGAGTCCTTTTCCTCCCATCTCAGAGATGCCCGGGGACTCGCGGTTGCCGTCACCGGTACCTCGATTTTCTGCTCAGATTTTCCCACGGCTTCTCTCAAATCAGACAATCATTTAAAAGCATTTGAACGAAAGAAAGTCACATCGGTTCACCAAAAGCAGGAGGCTGAGATGGCTGCATGTAAAATAGACGAGTCAGTCCCGCATTGCGGGCGAAGTCTCCACCAAGAAGCGCGTCTTCCGCCTGCTCAAACCCCGCGCACTTTCCATCCACCGTTTCGGAGTCCCGCGGGCTTCACAGCGCCGCTGTTCCCCTTCCTGTCTCTCCACTCTGCGTTCGGCTACACTATTTGCTGCTTTAAATGAAATGCCAACCTCTACCCGCATCCAGACACTCGCTGATTTTAAATCTAATAATGTTAAACTACTTTGCTACCCTGAAACACTCAGAGAGCGAGTATTTCTTTTACAAAAATCACTGTTTGCGATATACAGATGCAACGCAGGCTAAATAAATGCAGAAAAATAGTAATATCATTATTTGAAAATTTGCTAAAGTCTCGTATCTTGAGAAATCCATTGTTTACCTTTGCTGCATTAAATGTCAGGCTTTTTCTATGAAGGTTTAACAAAGAGATTAAATATTTTTAAAATTTTTGTGTTATTGAACTACATAACAAATAGCCCCTCTCACTAGCACATTCATTTTTTATTTTTTCAGGCTGAATGTCCTCTGGCCTTCCTGTGATATACACATATCTAGTGGCGTTCCCAGCACTGCATGGAAACCACTTGAACCTGCCCACTTTTATGAACTTTTGATCCCCTATTTATTATTTTTTTTTAGACGAGTTTCACTGTTGTTGCCCAGGCTGGAGTGCAGTGGCACAATCTCGGCTCACTGCAACCTCCGCCCCCCAGGTTCAAGCGATTCTCCCGCCTCAGCCTCCCAAGGAGCTGGGATTACAGGCGCCTTTCTCAACGCCCGGCTCTTCCGTATTTTTAGTAGAGGTGGGGGTTTCATCACGTTGGCCAGGCTGGTCTCGAACTCCCGACCTCAGACGATCCACTCACCTCGGCCTCCCAAAGTGCTGAGATTACAGGCATGAGCCACTGTGCCCAGCTTGATGCCCAATTTCTGCCACCTGCTGAAACAGTTTTGGTGTTTCTACTACATTGAGTGAGAGACATTTTTCTTTTTTTCCGAGTGGGAGCCATCTGAACAGTGTGTCGGTTCTTGACAGTGTAAGTTCTGCATTCAGGGAGAGCGCTCCCGTATCAATGAAGTCTCCTTATCTAATTTCAGGTTGCCCTCCCCTTCTTCAGGAACTCTGAGAATCTAGTTTGATATGAGGCAGATGCTGAGTGGGAGCTGAGGCACATAATATTTGGCAGGACAGTCATCTGCATTGTTCTCAAGCAAGAAGGATATGCTAACCCTCGATAAGAAGCAGTGGGCCACTTCTAAAAGTTTTCGGGTTCCTGGAAAATTTGGGGATTTGGATATTGTAATACATCAAACAGAAGTCTCCATCCAATATCTCATAGTTCTATTCTTTTTCAATAAAGGCCATGACTTTGACATAGAAAACGATCTAGGTTGGGAACTTTTTTTTTTAAGACAATGTCTCTATCTGTTACTGAGGATAGAGTGCAGTGCTGAGATCTCAGATCATTGCAGCAGCTGTGACTTCCCAGCCCAAGTGATCCTCCTACCTCACCTCCCTAGCAGCTGCGACCATAGATGTGTGCCTGGCTAGGTCTTTTAATTTGAGGAGATGGGGTTTCCGTATGTTCCCCGGGCTGATCTTGAACTCCTAGACCCAAGTGATGCTCCCGCCTCTGCCTCCCAAAGTGCTGGGATTAAAGGCATGAACCACCGTGCCCAGCTGGAAGTTAACTTCTTTAGAGTTTTACATACTATTCCTGTGATTAAGTCTTGGGCCTGAAGTTTAGATTTTTGGGCTCTGAAGTTGTAGGCAGGAGAGGTCCTTTACACACCCTATGGAGGCACACTTTCACGCTTAGCCTTAATTTAATAATATATCATCCTCAGTCTTTAACTGTCTCTCTCCAGAGCATCAACTTCCTCTGGCATAGGCTATCCAATTGCATTACGTTATAATATCTGTTCCCCTCGTGTTTCTCAAGCACCTAATACTTCATGTCTGCTGGTGCATACCCTTCCTCCGATTTAACACACCAGTTCAAGTTTGGCAAAAGTTTTGACAACCACACTGCTCCTTGTGCCACTGCTCATGTGTGCTTCAGCCATCTCCTCATCATCAACCAGACGGTGAATAGTTCAGCTTCAATATCTCTTCTTAGCATCATCTTTCTCAGATCATATTTGGTACCAACAATTACTGGTTGGATTCCCTAGAAAGTAGACTCTAAGATGGATATTTGCACTCAGGAACTTTACTAGGGCATTAACTGAGGGTCCACATGGAGGGTTGGGGGGTGGCAAAGAAGAGAAGCAGGATTTGTCAGAGGGAAAAATCGGGGTGCAGTGCGAGCACAAAAAGCTACCGGCCTACTCCTTGTGCATGTTTAGAGCTAGTATGGCCCTTCAAAGTCGTGCTAAGTTGAACCGTTAGGGTTTGGCCTTTATGCCTCTTAGGGACCAGTAATTGGATACAGGCTGCCCTGGAAAAAGGACAAACTTGGGTTGAGGCAATTCCTGAAGAGGAATGACAACTGAGAGCCATCCGGTGACAACCTTCCAAATGTAAATCTTTCTATCTGGGGGGATCAGATCTTCTGGGCAATACGTCATTTGTGACAGAGGAAGAAGGAGGAGGGAGATAAAACGAGTTCAAGCACCAGATAGGATTTTAAAATCCCCATAGAGATCTTTGATGCTGCAGAAAACATTTTATTGGAGGCAGTGGCAGGGCTCATTTTGAAGCTGAGGAATCCAGGGTTGAGATGGGAAAGCCCATCCTTCAGAAGATAAAGGGCATTCCTGCCCAGGTGCCATAACCTGAAGGCACTGAAGACCAGACAATAAGGAAGACTTTTGTAGGGCCAAACAGAGAGGTTCTGGGTCCCACCAGCATGGAGAGTCCCTCTATTCTTGTGAAGCAATGTTCTTGCTCCCATAGGAGAATGGCTGGTGGGGGGAGGGGTGTCATGGATGAAAACTGAGACAAAACAATTGGAAACTGATGATACATGTTTGTCCTAGGGGACAAAAAATGTTATGAAGTAGAACCTAAATTGTGTGACTATGATCCCATTGCTGTTTCTACATCCCTAGGGTGGAGAGAGTTGGAAGAGTCAGGATGTCTAGGAATGCTGTTCTTCAGGATGTGATGGCCGGCTGAAACACTGTTACAGAAGGACGATCTCCCTCTGGTGGATATGAGTAGTTCAGCCTTTAACAGAGGTCTGGGGATTTTAGGTTTCCGTTTTTTTCAGTCTTCACCCACATACTCTTGAGGGGCAAATGAGCAGTAGCCTTCCAAATATAGATCTAGTTTGTGGAGAGTGGAACTCTGGCAGTAAGTGGAGGTGAGTTACTCATGGGGAGCCCATGTAGGAAGAGAGTGTTCCTCTTCCTACATGGAAGATGTCAAGAAGATGCATGTTCCTTTTTTGGGTGGGGAGAGGGAGCAAGTCGTTAGGCGAGAAGCAGGATGGCTCCTGCCCTTAACCCCACCTTCCTATTTGGTTCTGAATTGCTTCAAGTAGGCCTCGATGTCTGCCTTGACTAAGCTGACTGTGGCCTGGTGGGACCAGCGCATGACAGGGATTCCATCGGGACCCACCAGGAACTTTTCAAAGTTCCAACGGATGTCATGGACTTTGACAGGGTCCCAGGATATAGATTTGAATGTGCCCAAAATCTCAGAGGGATGAGGACAGGAGTGCTAAAGCAGAGAGACGGAAAAGACAAACAAAGTTATTTGTGCTCCTGGATGATCCAGACTATTTTCACCCACAGGTAATCCACTCCTTCCTATACCTAGATATTTTAACTTCCTGTTATTCCTAATAAACTCCATAAATTCTTGAATCACCACTATGCCAACTACCAAGAACATTATAGATATTACAGCAAAACCTGCCCTCTTTTGTTTCTCCCCACAACCCCATCACAAAATTTTGCTGCCATGGATAAGAAATGTTACCTTTTATGCTTTTGGCTTTCTTTTCTTCCAAGTGAATAGCTTGGATTTGAATGTGGTTTTCCGGGTCTTAGGGTTCCATGGGCCAGTAAATTTCAATAATTATCTTTAGGGACCAACACTGAATTACTAATATTTTGTCAAATAACAACAAAAAAAATTTAAACACCATCATTCTGTCACTTAATTTAAAAAGACCATTGGAAGAATAAACCGCATGTGGGTCATAATTTTTTAATAAAGGGAAGCCCTGTAAGTTAGATGAGTTGAGTTTATAAAATAACTTCTTACACTGTTGCTTTTTTCTTTGAGACAGAGTCTCGCTCTATCACCCAGGCTGGGGTGCAGTGGCACGATACTCTGTTCTATTGTCTTCAATTTACCGAGGATATACAAAGTCTTAACATGGACTAGTCTTGCTTCACAGTCCAGGAGTTAGGAACAATTCACTTTGGTAGTCTTTAGGGTTCTTTCAGCTCTGGCATTCTCTATGTCTAAAAATCAGTGTTTCATAAAAGGTAGCTACTATACGGTATCATATCTGTTGATTTGTTATTTTGTTTTGTTTTGTTTTGTTTTGTTTTGTTTTGAGACAGTGTCTTGCTTGGTTGCCCAGCGTGGAATGCAGGGGCACAACCAGAGGTCACTGCAGCCTCCGGCTCCTGGGCTCAAGCTATTCTCTGGCCTCAACCTCCCAAGTAGCTGAGACTACAGGTTTATGCCACCACACTCAACTAATTTTTTTATTTGTTTTGTAGAGACAGGATCTCACTATGTTGCTCAGGCTGGTCTCGAACTCCTGGCGTCAAGCAGTTCTCCTGTCCTGCCTCAGCCTTCTTAAGTGCTGGGATTACAGGCATGAACTACTACACCCAGCTATGTACCTGATGGTTTCTAACTCTCTCTCCAGTATAACGTCACCAAGGGTAGAGACAGTGCCTTATTCATCTTTATATCCTTATTACTTAGACTGCTTTATAAATAGCAGGCACCCATTCAGTGTTCCTAGAATGAATGAATGAATGAATGAATGAATGGTCAATGAGCAAAAGAGCGTGTTCCTAGTAAAAGCTGCCATTCCACACAACTCTCTTCACCACACGAAGTTAGAGCCCCAGAGATAACTCACAGATTAATCTCCAGATCAGCATGTGGAATGTGGAATGCTGATCTGAAGATTTCCTCCAAAAAGACCTATCCCACCTCCAGGCATGAGCCCTAGGATCCACTTCTGCCCCACCCACTGTATGCTAGGAATATTGGAAAAGAGGAGGAGGCTTAGCCAGGAATTCACTCACCTTCAAGAAGCTGAAGACTTTCTGTTCTTTTTCACCATTCACATCTCCTTTCTCAAAAAGCTGGAAATTGGGTACAAATCCTCCCCCTGGACGGACATACCTGCAACAAGCCATAATGTTCCCAGGAAGCTCCAGGATAGCAAGAAAAGGTTATAATGGGACACTAGGATTTGGAGTCATGAGAAAGGGCAGAAAGAGGGAAATATCATTGCGGGCAGGAGGAATACAGCCATGTTTTGACTTGGGGCTCTCTGATTCACTTTATTTCTCTCTATCCCACAACCCGTCTCTTTTCCTCAATCCCTGCTGTCTTCCCTAGATCATCCAAGTCTCAGCCAGGGATGGAGAGAGAGTCTCTGGAAACTGCTAGACTCTCATCCAGGTAAGCCAAAGTTATACTCTGCTTGCAATGCCTGTTAATCCACAGCTCCCCAGGAAGTTCCTGAGCTAGAAGGGCCTCTGGAGACTGCGGAAAGGCACACAGGCACCTCCTGTTGGATTTCAAGCAGGCACTTACTTGAGCCCAGGAAGAATCTCCTTGTTATCTCCTGGTTCTTGCTTTCCAAACTGGTTGCAGGGAAAGCCCAACACAACTAGACCAAAGGGCTTCAGCTCCTCCTGGAGTGCATTCAGTTCTGCGGTTAGGGGAGGGACAACATGTTGGTCTGGGTAGACATTCTGCCTTGTGCAGGGATCTTTCCCTGGAGTGACCCATTTTTCAGAGAAGGCAACAGAGGCCCAGGGAGAGAAACAGTTCTAGATCAGCAGGGCTATTAGTGGCAGAGCTGAAGTTATGAAGTTACAGTCCGGATCTTCCCTTGTGCGCTCAAAAGCCCTTTGTTATGCTGCAGTGTTTCCCATACCTGCGGCACAGCAGAATCCGCTGAAGGCCCTTCCCTAAAAATGGGGATGCCCAGGTCCCATTTCAGAGAATTTTCTGTTCCTCTGAAATGGGGCTTAGTCATCTTTACTATTCAAAAGCTCAACAGGTGATTTTTAAATAAATAATACACTGCTCATTATTTTGCCTTCCCTGTTTGGTTAACTGAGAGCTTGAATCTTTCTTTTTTAAGGGAAAAGACAGACAATGAGGACCAAGCTTCTGTCCTCTGTGCAGTCTGGCTCACCCTGTGTGGAGTGGAAGTAAAACTGATAAAGGCAAAGAGCATCAGAGAAATTTGAAGTCAAGCATCCTAACATATTTCAACAATCCTCAAGATGATAAAGATGCATTCTTCCTAAAACTTCTCAGTGGTTTGCTGAAACACAAACTTCAGCTGCCTTCTTCCACCACCAGGAAGTTTTCCAACTTGTCTGCTCAGACTCTTACAATCATCTTCTTTCTTAACTCTTTCTAAGCTAGATGCCTTTAGTCCCTTGACAAACGCTAACCAGTCCCACTGAGATTCAGCTCAGCCAACTGCTGCCTCCTTGAGACCTTGTTTAAACAGAGATTGCCTTTCTGTTTCCACAGGGTTCCTCAGTACCTCTCCCTATATTCTTCCGTTCTCTGTTAGTTGCAGAGTGGAAACTGAATAAATCAATTCTTAAAAGTCCCTATAAACTGGGAAAATAAATTATGGTCCAATAAATATTATTCAGTCTTAAAAAATAATGTGGAAATGATCTGAACTCAAATGTATTTTGTTAATTAAAAAATCAAGGCAGCAAATAGTATTTATCGTGTGTTATCAGTTTGGAATGGGGAAGTAGAAAAAAGAACCTATCTATGTATTCTATAAACATGATAATATTGGTCTACCAAAGGGAGGGGAAGAAGGTGGAAACCTTTAGTTCTAATTTTTTTTCTTTTGGCCTTTGAGACTTGTGAACATAATACCTATTCAAAACACAATTAAAAACAACAAAAAAGGAGGTCTTATTATTTCAAATATAAGAAGTATATTTGTCTCTGATATAATCCATCGTGATCATTATTTGCTGATTTTTAAACCACATGCCCTAAAACATGAGAATGATAAAATTCTTCCCTGAATAATGTGCAAAAAGGGAGGACAAACTACATCCTAAAGGGGGGTCGAGGTTGGAGAGGGAGTGTTTGCTTCTATTACAGCCTCATCTGCCAGCCGTCATGCTCGTCAAATGCAGTTCCAGGTATAAAACTCCTTCTCCTTGTCATTGCAAGGTACCTGTAAAACTGTGGAAAAGTTTCAAAAACATGGATCCTCTTTCTTGTATTTATCAAGAAGACTTCTGCAATCATCTGAGAGGCTCCTAGTTCTCACGTATATATTGATTCCCCTGGAAAACTCAGGGAAAAGCAGAGGCAGAGCATGGGGAAGGGGTTGGCACATTTTTTTCTGTAAAGGGCCAGATAGCAAATATTTCAGACTTCGTGAGCCATACAGTTTCTGTCACCATTACTCCTACAACTGCTGACCTCTACTATACAGCATGAAAGCAGCCATAGCTGATGTGTAAATGAACAGGGATGGCTGCATTCCAATAACACTTTGCTAACAAAGCCAGGCTGACCAAATTTGGTCTGTCCGCCAGAGCTTGCTGGCTTCTGACAGGGGGATGAAGTCATGTGATTACGAGTATTTATTTTTGGTACATGCTTAGAATTAAAATATAATTCCAAGTATAATTTAGAATATAATCAACTGGAAAATTTAGTCCTAAAGAGATGTAGCTATGAATTCTTACCAGGATATTGCGCTGTCAGACCACAGTAGGTGGCCACGTTGACAAAGAGGACGTGCTTGCCCACATACCGCTTGAAGGGAACATATTCCTTCTTATTCAGCATGATGGCTTCGTAGTCATAGATGGTGCCTTTTTGATCTCTGTGACAATCCATCTGGAAGATTTTTTTTAAGTGATAATATTAATAACAAGAATTTTTAGCAACTATGTAACCTTTCAAAGAAGTCAAACGTTCTAACCAAGACCTAGAAAACAAATGAGAGTTGTCTAAAGTGTCAATGACAAGACTGAAACTTGGTTCTTGTAACTTGGAAATAAAAATCCAAGTCTCATAAGCCAGACAGAGAAAGACAAGCATAGCATGTTCTCACTTATTTGTGGGATCCAAAAATCAAAACCATTGAACTCATGGAGACAGAGAGTAGAAGATGGTTACCGGAGTCTGGGAAAGACACTAGGAGAATGAGAGGGAGGTTGGGATGATTAATGGGTACAAGGAGAGACAGTTAGAAACGGTGAATAAGACCTAGTATTTGATACCACAACAGGGAGACTACAGTCAGTAATACTCCAACTGTACATTTAAAAATAACTAAAAGTGTATAACTGGATCATTTGTAGAAAAAAGGCTAAATGCTTGAGGGGATGGATACCCCATTTTCCATGATGTAATTATTACACATTCCGTGTCTGTATCAAAACGTTTCCTGCACCCTATACATATATACACTTACTATGTACCTGTCCTCCCCCACCCCCTCCACACACACACAAGAATCAAGTCTCCTTTTTTTTTTTTTTTTTTGAGACAGAGTCTCGCACTGTTGCCTGGGCTGGAGTGCAATGGCACAATCTCGGCACACTGCAACCTCCACCTCCCAGGTTCATGCGATTCTCCTGCCTCAGCCTCCCCAATTGCTGGGATTACAGGCACACACCACCACATCTGGCTAACTTTTTATACTTTTAGTAAGACAGGGTCTTACTGTGTTGGCCAGACTGGTCTTGAACTTCTGACCTCGTGATCCACCTACCTCGGCCTCCGAGAATGCTGGAATTACAGGCATGAGCCACCACAGCCGGCAGGTCTATTTTGAAAGCTATGAGATGCCAGGAAATGCACAGATAATGGAAAAGAGTATTGATTCATAAGTTGAGATGGTGGGAGCTGGAAGTAAGTGGAGCCAAAGTGAAAAGCACACTTGCCTTTCATGCTTCTGTGAAAAAGAGGCTACTCCTTGGCTTTGGATAGAAGGCCTCCTGCCTGGACTCTCTGAGAAGGGCGGGTTTTAATTGCTGACCTATTCTGAGGATACCTTGGTTGCTTCGCTTTCCCCAGTTCTTCTGACTTCTTACTCCACTTATCAGCAAGCAGAGTATAAAGAGCACTGCCCTGGCAATCAGAGGCCAGCTCCATTGTTAAATTCCTTGGTGAACCTCGGCAATTCCCATACCTGGCCCTCAGTTTCCCCTTGAGTAAAATGAAGATATTTATCCAGATTCTTGCTAGAACTTCAAAGGGGCTTCCATGTTTAATGTTCTAGAATCGAATATTATCCCCACCTTGAATTACTTTCTCCTGTCACTCACTTACCAATATGGTAGTTGTGTTAGCCAATACTGTGAAATCCCAGCTTTTGGTAGCTCTCAAGAAAGGAGATGGAGAACCCTAAGGTCCATCTGCAAGTGAGTCCCTGAAATCTGTCGGGCAGCATCCAACCTGCCAGTCACCCATCTCCTGAGCCCATTGTGCTCTAGGTGTCTAATATCCACCTTCGTTCTCCGTTCCACCTATCCCATTCCTTCTCAAATATCACAAACATATTAATAGTTGAGCCGATGTCCACACAACATTTTTTATGTGTTTGTTATGTGTTTGTTAAGTTCCACATAACAGAAATTAGTCCTGCCTGAAGTTCTCATTGCATGTTCTTTTATTAAATTCCTCTACAAGGCAGGTCTCATCTTACTCCTCCTCTGTCTCTAGACCCTTACAGGGTGGTTCACGCAGTTCCCAAAGTGTACTGAGGCCACAGTGCTCACCAGCACATGCCGATCCCTTTTCTTATACTCAGGAAGCTGCCACAAATTGCTCATGGAATACAGAATATATACAACAGGGATATGAAAAGGAAGCTATATGTCCAAACCATCCAGTGAGAAAAAGGTGGAAAGGAACTGGCGGGAGAAAAGACCGAAAGACATTATCTGATATGGAATGTCCAGACTTAAAGTAGGATTAAACTTGGCTTCCTGGAAATGCATTAGTCTACTAAGAATTTTGGTTGAATACCATCTGCCCCCATTCAGAGAAGGAATAATATAAAACAAAACAAAACAAAACAAAACAAAACAAAACACAACTTTTGTCCAGTCCTGTAAGCCCACTGATTCTATCATTAGCATACTAGGTTGTAGCTACTCACTTCTTACTCTTGGGGAAAAAGATATCTTTCTATGCAGGTTTCTACACCTTTCCCTAAGTTTATACATGCTTATATGCACCATCAAAACTGAGGCATCTATAAAGAGAATACAGTGTAAAAGCATTCGTTCCTATCTCCATGTTGCCTAGTTTCAAGTTAAACGTTTGTGAGAATTTGCCCTTTTTTTTCTTTTGCTACTGCAATGACAATCACTCACAGTCACGTTGGGTAGCAGGATACAAGAGCTTAGAGAGACTCTTAATTTGAAGACTCCTTATAGTACAGTTTAATTCTGATATTGTAACTGCTGTTTCAAATTTATTGAAGTCCATTTAACATGTATCCATTATCTCTAGCTGCAAACTCTGCAGCCCAGAGTCTCCACACTCAATTAAGCACCACAGGTAACATAAAAAAACACATCAGTTCTCAAAATAGAAGTTCAGCCAGGAAGTTATCTAGTTAATATTAGAGGCAAGGTGTGGAGAGATCTAATTAGAGCTGCATTTTGTAGAATGTATTATATGCATAGCAACTGTTGTTCACCCACCCATAAGGTAGTTGCTGTTACTGACAAATTTACAATGAGAAAACAGAGGTCAACTCGTCTAAAGCCCATTTACTTCATGATTATTTTCTGCCTACAAGTTACCTCATTCATTATTATCCTTTCCTAAATGGCCCCTTCTGCTGCCAGACACACGGGTCTTATCAATAAGGTCATGAGCCATGAATTGGGCAGAGAACTGAGGCCAGAATCCAAGATGCCTGACTCCAAATCGCAGGGCTCTGCCTTTTTTTTTTTTTTTTTTTTTATGTTTCTCTCATAACTCTCTGACTTTATCCATCCTTAAAACTTCCACATTCATTTTTTCCTACTCTGCAAGGGGTTCTTTGGAGCTGTGTCTGAGACGAGACCACTCAGCCTCTCCTTTAAACCCCAGTCCCCACCTACTCTAAGGCCCATCGCTGCCCCAGCCTCAGCCCCAGCTCTGAAGTGATGTGGCTGGAGAGGTCTCCAGGGGGCTCCCCCTGAAGAAGGGGAGAAACGCCTACAGTATGGACACCCTTTCTTCCCTAGTCATATTCAGCTCAAGGAACACCCATCCACAGCAGTGAGGAAAATTCAAGGAGGAAAAAAGCAAGGTTTAGGGGAACCAGCAAAGAAGAAGACATCAGGAGTCTGAGTCTTACAAGGACTGGAGGGCAGGATCTAGAAGCAGGACAGAGAGTGACTACCGCACGTCTCCGAAGCACACACACCTTCATCTTCTGCTTGGGACTTGCTTGCACAAAGCAGGCTAGGAGAACGGGGAGCAGACGGACGGCCCTTAACTGTACAGTCATGACCAGTGCTCGTGGCCTGCTAGTCTGGAGGCCTGAGGTCCTTGCCCACCTCTGCAGTCTTTTGGTATTTTGGCAGGGACTTAGCCCAAGCCCCCAGAGGCCAATTGCAGGGCTGCAAGGATTCCTGATGCATGAGGTGGGCGTGAGGACTACAGAACACAAACCACATCCTCTCCCACAACGCAAACCACATCCTCTCCCACACACGCTCTGTGAGCACTCAGTGCTCACCAGTGCAATGAGGATTTGCGACTCATAAGTTCTGGGAAAATTATAAATGGGTGATGCCAACTCCTCTGAGGTCCTCAAAGACTACTGTCTGCTTTTCCTCAAGGGATGAAAGTGGATGAAAGTGTATAGATGCTGACACAGCCTTCCGGATACTGCAGTAAAGTCACAGCAAAAGGGTTGGTGTCGACATTCCAAATGTTACTTCTAATATTATCTGAGTTTTTTAAAAAAATCAAGAGATGGGCCAGCTATCTAGGATCTCTCACAAAGAGTTGGGAGGAAACTGGCCTGAGGAAGGGAAATAGTCACAATGTATGCAAAGGACAGCAGATTAATACAAAGCCTTAGAAATGCTTTTAAGTGCTTAAATACCAGTAAGAAAAAACTATCAGACCAACAGAAAAACACGGGCATGAAACAGAAAATCAACTGGCATCTGTAATAGGATACAATGTTCTCTCTCACCAATGATCAAAGACATATAAATAAGAAACTACACATTCTGCATTTATCAGATTGGCAGAAGTTAAAAGGAATGGTGGTTCCCAGCCTGGGCTCAGTCTGGTATAGGAGGCTCTTACGAGATACGTAAGGGAATGGGGAATACTGATGTTGCCAGCTTTCTGGACAAGAATCTGACATTCTGAATGCAGTGCTTTAAAAAAGTAAACATCTTTTTAAAAATAATGATACATTTACAAAAATTGCAAGCATTCCTCTTTTTTTTCTATTTTTTTAACTTTTAAGTTCAGGTTTGTTATATATGTGCAGGTTTGTTATATACTCAAACTTGTGTCATGGGGGTTAGTTATACAAATTATTTCGTCACTGAGGTTTTAAGCCTAGGACTCCCTGGTTATTTTTCCTGCTCCTCTCCCTCCTCCCACTCTCCACTCTCTAAGAAGCCCTAGTGGATGTTGTTCCCCTCTATGTGTCTATGTGTTTTCATCATTTATCTCTCATTTATAAGTGAGAACATGCGGTATTTGGTTTTCTGTTCCTGCATTAGTTTGCTAAGGGTAATGCCCTCTCGCTCCATCCATATCCCTGCAAAAAACATAATCTTTTTTCATGGCCTCGTAGTATTCCATGGTGCATATGTACCACATTTTCTTTATCTAGTCTATTACTGATGGGCATTTAGGTTGATTCCATGTCTTTGCTATTGTGAATAGTGGCAAGCACTCCTCTCAATAGCCTGGAAGCCCAGAGCCCAAAAGAACCAGGGAAATGAGATACAAGCTCCTCTAAGAATAAGGTTGCTTTGCCTTTCGACTGGCATGCAGGCCCCCATTCTTTCAGGGACAATTTCTAACAACCACTCAGTAGTCTTGGCTAAAATTTTAGAATATATGAATTGATGGATGCTCGCCTGGAGCCCCAGGAATTGCTGGGTTTCTCACATAAATAACATGGCTAATCCCTGCGGATTTCACAGGACATGGACCAAGACAGTCTTCCCTTTTATCTCCATGCGGTTTTAATTTTTGGACTCCTAGCGCTAATGTTTAATTAATCACGCTCCTAAGTTCACAATCATTTGTCCTTGTAAGGACAAATGATTTTGTTTTCTTTATTATTTATATCCTTTGATTCCCAAACTCCACTCTTCTTCCCCTCACTATCATAAGTATATTTAATATGCTTAATATGCATATTATTTGTATTCCTGAAAAACTTAGATATTCCTCATGAGATTATTAGCTCCTTAAAACTTAAAAAATTACTCATTTTTTTTCCCATTTGGACCTCAGTTTCAAAGGACTGAGTCAAACTCTTAAATTTATGCCATTTACCATCATTAGGCTGTGCACGGATTCTCTTATATAAATTTTAAATTTTTTTTGTCCCCAACCCACTGCCATTTTCCTACCTCTTAGAAGGAGTGGCAGAAGAACAGATAAGAGAGACTGGAAAGTGTTGGTGTGTGGCTGTTTCTAATGCTTTGAAACTGCAAGAAAGGAGTGAATTCAGCAACTAAGTGGGTTCTAGTGAGATAAGGAGACGCTGAAAAATCTGTGGGTTAGTGAAGAGGCTCACGGTTGTTTCCTTTCATTGCTCTCCCCACACGTCTCTCCTCCTCCCACAGGAACAGCACTGCCAGCCCAGCTTTGCTGAACTTCCATGTTTAGGAAATGAAAAGTTCTTCCTCTCCAGTTCTAAGTTCATTTTCAACCAGCCCCCTCCACCAACCCTGCCTCTTTGAGGTTCACACAAAATCCTGCCTCCACCTCTTTGAAGTCTTGAGTTGGGTTTAATTCTTGAAGTCTCACTGGGTTTAATTCTCCGCCAGTCTGGGGGAATCTGGGCATTCATGAGCTCTCCTGGAAAACAGAAGCTTTTTATTATCTCAGGTGTCTGATCTCTTCTTAGAGACCTCTAATCTGAGGGTGGAACCCATGCAATGCCTGACCCAGCCGCAAAACACCCAAAGCCCTTCAGGTTTCCTGCTTTGTGGCACCGCCTGGCCCCAGATGCTGACTCTCCTGCCCTCCTCCCCTCTATCACAGTTTAAAGAACCGTGCAGATTAAAATATCAAGCTTCAATCCTTCCCAAGCTATGTGACTTTGGGCAAGCTGCTCTCTGTCCCTCTGGCCCTCATCTGTAAAACTGGTTGACTAATATGAACTTACAGGGATAATTTTAGGGACAAAAAAAAAAAAAAGAGAGATTAGTTTAAACTCAGCACTGGACCCAGCCCAAGAAAAACACCCTGTGTTAATTTAACAGATGAATAAGCTGGTGCTCAGATAGAAAACCTGACTTTTCCAAAGCCTGTGTTTAGTGACAGCTGCCCCTCCCTTGCTCTTATAAATTCCTTACTTTCCTTGCCATTTCATCTTTGCTTGTCACACAATAACTAACTTCTAGAGCAGAAGAGAAACTTTCATCATAAACTGGGCCTCAATGGTCAGATCAAATGGCGTTCCCAAGCCCTTTTTCCATCGTTTCAGTTTCCCTGGAGGCAAGAATTCTGTGCAGGGAGCTCATGCTCAGCAGGAGGCCCACAGAGGGCACCTCTTGTCCTCACCCCCTGACTGCCTCATGTAGCAGCTGCCTCCTCTTCACCTTCAGCCAGAGCCACATAGCAAATCCCTACTGCTGCTTTTCTGGAATGCTGAAATCATCTCCTACATGCTTTCTCTCTTTCAGGCTCTTCATTTCCATCCTTTTTCCTTTACCCTCCTGCCACTGGAAACTCTAACCACCTGTCTGATGATAGCTCTCCTCCTATAAAGAGCCAGGGATGCTAACCAGTTTATTACAGCATCAGATCCAGAATCTCCAGCGAGGTATCTATCTGGTCTATTGTTGATGGGCATTTAGGTTGATGACATGTCTTTGCTATTGTGAAAGTGGCCAGCACCCCTCTTAGTAGTCTGGAAGCCCAGAGCCTTGAAGCTCTCCTGATGTGCTCTTAGCCTCCTTCTATTCTTGACTCCCATCACTCCCCATGTGAATCTCAGACAGCTACATTCTCTCCATTCTTCAACACACACTTCCTCGGATTTAGATTTTTGACCTTGGAGGTCTACTGTGCTGAGAACTTTGAGAACCTACCTCTCCTTGTTCAAATTATATACATTATGCAAATTATATATACATATGTAATTTGTCAGGACAAGGAATTCCCACTGAAAAACAGGAAATACAATTTGATCAAACTTTACCTATTAAAAAAAATTTTTTTTTTGAGACGGAGATTCACTCTTGTTGCTCAGGCTGGAGTGCAATGGCTGGCGCAATCTTGGCTCACTGCAACCTCCGCCTCCCGGGTTCAAGAGATTATTTTGCCTCAGCCTCTCGAGTAGCTGGAATTACAGGCATCCACCACCAAACCCAGCTATTTTTTGGTATTTTTAGTAGAGACAGGGTTTCACCATGTTGACCAGGCTGGTCTCAAACTCCTGACCTAAGATGATCCACGTGCCTTGGCCTCCCAGAGTGCTTGGATTACAGGTGTGAACCACCATGCCCCAACTACCTATCAAGATTTTAGGTGCAAATGTTTGTAGCCTGAGCCATAGATTAATGCTGAAAAGCCAAGCCAGGCCTTAATTAAGCCATAAAGTCTGACACTTCCCAGACTTCAAGAATCCTGTAATCAGAAGCAGTTCATGATCTTAAGCCTGGTGGGATACCTGGGTGGGAAAAATCATTACTGCCTACTTTTCCCTACCAGACTCGAATCTTTCCTTGAGGTAGTATTCTCATGAAAGTATGTTTCTTGCCCAAGCTCACTCAGTGGGTGAGTGGCCATTCACAAACTGAAATGAAGGCTTTCTGCCTCCCTGTCCTCCTTTCTGGCAATGACTTAACCCTACCTGAAATTCAACATCGGCCTTTTTGTTTTGGATTCCTTTGATTAGAAAGGTAATAGGTTTGATTCTTTCTCGGGGCAGTATACCTCTTCATTCAGATTCAAACCACAGCCTCTGCAACCACCCAAATCCGACTTAAAGATCTCTGTCCACCCTTTGGTTTTACTTGACTATTTTGTGTGAATTAGACAATCTCCCTCTGGAACTGGCATCTCCATCCAGGCCTCCAGGATTTTCCTTAATCTAGTTTTGTAAGCATGAAGCACAGGATCTACTCCTAGTCTGCCATTTTAAGCTACTATTACTTATGTTTATATAGAGAGAATTTATAGTTTACAAGCCTCTTTCACATCAATAATTTCATTTAGTCCTCATAATCAGCCAGTTACAGAAGTAGGATGGGCATCTTTAGCTCGAATCTGCAATGGAAAAGTAAGGTCAGAAAGGAAAAGCGACTTGATGAAAGTCTCATAATAGTGTAAATCTAGACAATAAACTTGAGTTTCAATTTCAAATCCACTTGCTGCTTCACGCTTGAGGCTCAATTACTCATAACGTATGTGGTCAGAAATG